AAAAGTCAGTAGTAAACAGTAATCTAAGAAAACATAAAGAAGAGGACTCAGTGAGAAGGTTGCCATTCATTAACATAGGAATGTGGGCAGTATTGCAATAGTTTTTTGCAGTAAAGATATAAACCATGGAGTAAAATAAGGGTGGACTTGGAACCAACAAGAAGGAACAAAAGCATTATTTCCTGCCTTAATCCAGCAGGTTATGTAGGAGGCATATTTATCAGCTGATAGAGAACAGACATCAACCAAAGGACCATCATGAAGAAAATTATGAAAAGAATCCCAGTCAGTTTTAGGATACTTGAAAGCAGTGCGATGATAGGGTGAGTCCAAAATGGTAGTAGGAGAAAAAAATTTAAAAAGATCATTGAATGGTCAGAACCATCTAAGGGAGAAAAAGAAGAAACTGAACACAAGCTAGAATCAAAGGCAGGTCATAAATCAAGGAGTGAAGGTAAATGATTAGGGTTGTCAGGAAAATGAGTCACACAATTAACTATCTGAGTACAAGATCGAGAAATGCAGTTAGACTTTAGTGCCTGCAGAGTCAGTGGCGTTAGAGCCAAGAAATTCAGTGTGATGAGCATTAAAGCCACCAATAACAACAATATTGGCAAAAGGGTAAAGAGAGCAGGCATGGTCAATTTGATTAGAAATTAAATCTAAAAGAGTGCAGTCTTTTAGATGTAATTTTTGAGGGATAAAGGAGAACAATAAAAAACAAAGAAAAAGGTGATAGAGTGAGAAGGTGCTAAGCAGAAGTACATAAAAGAATGGTCTAAAGATTCGAATTCGATTTCATGACAAATAGGTGAATTGATGCGTATGTACACATGTGAATTTGATGAATTGCTGCGTATGTATGCGTATGTGAATGTGTGTGAATTGATGCATATGTATGCTTATGAATTTGCCTTGCTTTATTAATCATTACTAATAACTTTATAGTCAATTTCAAGACATATTAGCCTCCATTCCTGGCTAGCCAACCAGCCAATATTCTTCAATCTTCCAAGTTGTTTAAACTCTTCATTTAAAATAATAGCTATTTATTTAAGTTCCTTTTTTTTTGCTGCAATGAATACTAGCAAAAATGAAACAAACTACTGATGTTGTCATCAAACTTCTTAATATTCAACTAAATAAATATCCAATTTTATTGAGTCTAATGCAGAAAGTTTTAATCTATGCGCCAGACAATCGGTATATACTATACTGGGATTTTTATTCCGTATTTTAGTTTGAACACCAGCTTTATTGCCAGACGCTACAGATGCACTATCAAAGTTAACATTTACAGCTTTTGCATAGATATTGTTTAAACTTTTTTTCTGTTGTTAAATTTTTTAAAACAAGTTCTATTGCATTTAATATACCATCAGCATCAACTTGACAGTTGATGAGAAAATAACAGCAATTATAATTATCGGATTAACATTTTCAACAAATCTTGAAAAAAATGTTTCTTGTTCATTAATATTCTTATCAGAAGAGCTGTCAGATAAAGTTGCAATAAAACAAGGATTTAATACATAAAAACTAAAGTTGCATTTTATGACAAAATTGAAAAAATAAAATTTTATGTCAAAACAAAACAAAATGACAAACAAAATTTCTGCAAGCCTTGTCACTTAAGAAATTCTTGCCCAACTTAAATTCCATTTACCCTTTGTAGCTTGCATTTTTCGTTTTTATTGTGGCATAACAAGTATGTTCTTTTCCAGAATTTACATCCTATTGTTACTGAATTGGTTGCATTGAATTACATTGAATTGCTAATATTTGGGTACTTTTGACAAACCCAACAAGAGAAAAACTCATTTGACTTGTCAATATGTATACAGCTTAGTTGTCCCCCATGTTTTTTATTGTTTAGCCGCAATCCATTTATGGTGTTTCAAAATATTAACTCAATATCTTTTGGCCATATATCCAATTTTCCCAAAGTCATTGCACAATCCAAGTCATTGCACTTTTTTTATGCCTGCTTAGTTTCTCTTTCTCCTTTATGTTCAATTACACACTCCACTGTAGATATTATTAGAAAATACTATATATATATTTATATATATATATATATATATATATATATATATATATATATATATATATATATATATATATATATATATATATATATATATATATATATATATATATCAGTTTACATAAGATAGTGATAACAGTCTTGTTCTAAAAACGTTTGTATTTGCATTATTTTGAAGCTATTTAAATATTAGTTATGCATTTTTCAGTATCAATCTAAATTAAAATTTTTTTTTTGAAATTGTAGTGACAAGTGTTTTCTATAATTCACTTCAGTGATGTCTTAAAAAACGAAAATTGTTTGGTGCCTTAAACAACTAAAGGATTGGAAAATTTTTTCTATGCAAAAAACTATTGTCTTATCAACTTACATCTCTTGCTAGCTATGCAACAACCACTAATACTGTATTTATTATATACTATGTCAACTTTAGGGCTGCTAGCTCGAACATGTTCAAGTTCGAACGTTTAAACTTTACGCCAAAATTTAAACGTTCAGGTTTGAACTTTTTTCGCTTAAAAGCTCGAACTTTCAGAAGAAATACCTTAATGGTCATTTCGATAAATATAGCTGAAATATAAATAAAAATTTGTGTTTTGAAACTGTTAGATTTTTTGAAAACAATGTTCTTTCCTTTTTGATTTATTTGTAGCTATTCAAAATTTAGAAAAACAGCGTTTGTATGGTCACTCTAAAAATACAAACATAATAACGTAATGTGTAAAACCATTGCAATTCATAATGTGTCAGTTTTTTCACATTAAAAACTAAACAAACAGTGACCCTTTGACCACTGTTTATTTATGTTTGAAAAAATAAAAACATTAAGTAAAAATAAAACATGATTACTTTCAAAGACGTTAGCACATCCACAAGATCTGAGGTTTGGGATTATTTTGAATTTTCCCAAGTGCTGCAACAAGCAAAATGTAAAATTTAAAAAGTTTTATTAAAAACTCTTGGCTCAACATAAAATTGACATTATTAAATGTAATACCTTGGCTTCTGTGCCTGTCGAAATTGTTCCTAAAATACCAAGAATTTAAAACTTTTTTATTTCTGGGATTAAAAATTTATCTGAAATCTTTAGCAGATAGACTCCTATTGATGAAACAAGTTTTACAACCATTGCTAATAGTCAAGTTTTACAATTAGCATTTTGTGCTCAAGGATAAAATTTGCCCAAAAGTCATCAAACTGTTCATGATTTAGTGATGAAATACTTTGAAATAATCAAGAAAAAAGTAACTGCTTTATTACAAAAAGTCATTTTAACTAATGGCAAATTTAGCCTAACATTTGACGAGTACACATCAGTAAAAAATAGGAGATTCATGAATTTGAATATTCATTATAACAGAGGATTTCAATCTCTTGGATTGTTAAGGGTACATGGCACAATGCCAGCATCAAAAACCATTGAACTAATTAATAAAAAACTTAATTCATTTGGTTTAAACTTAGACAAAGATATTGTTGCCTCTGTTACAGATGGAGCCAGTTTGATGAAAAAAATTGGCTATGAATTTAAACCAAAACATCAAATGTGTTATAATCATGCTATTCATTTATGTGTAATTGATGTGCTTTTTTTAAAAAAAAGTGCTGCACTACCAAAAAATAATTTTGACAATGAACCTGTTGATATCATTGAAGTTGGTGATACCATTGAAGTTGATAATAACAATGAAGTTAATAATACCATTGAAGTTGGTGATACTATTGAAGTTAATGATTCTGTTGAAGATGTTAATAAAGATGATGATGGT